TGCGATGCCTGCACGAGTTTGGTCAAGACAAACGCTTGACAAGACAAGAACTAAATACAAACCGTGACTACAGATACTGGRMTCGTSRTGGGWKGATTGKATTATCTSGTGTAACCGACACGGACTGKGATGSAATCGCTATGTTAGTAGAATCCACTGCTACATCAATATCATCACCACCACACASATTGYRCATTGKTGRCTCACSGATAACCATTACYGGGATAAAGAGATTGATGTCATCACTCAGTAMAAACYGTTCAATAACTAGACTGGASCTGKTKGKKWGTWATTTGAATGATGAACACGTAAAGTGTTTGTGTAAAGATTTACAAAAGACAAAAATAACCGAGCTAAACCTGTGGGGTAATGAGATAACTGATGGTGGAGTGGATGACATCATGGTACACTTACCCAGTAATCTCACCAAGCTAAACCTGTCTTATAATAACATATCTGCTGAATGTAAAGAGAAAACTAGACAATTCTGTAGTGATAAATATCCTGGTCTTAGGTTAGTCATAGGTTATACATAGAGTAGATAATTCAATGTTTGACTCTTGTAGAGTTGTAGTGATACAAGTAAACCAAACACAACAAAAATCACATCAAACTATTTATTCATCATTTCTTAGTTTTCTACAATTCCTTACATATTCTTTTGTAAAAATATAAGCTTATATCAAAATGTAYATTTTATAATTTTGTATGATAGTTTTTAACATTTTGTATAGTTCATAGGATTTTTTCAGTTTCAGTAAAGCTGAACTTGTACAAATGAGAGGACATGAAAAACTTTCTTATTAAGATTTTTTCTCTTGGGTTTAGAAAGCTTGAATAAAAATCTTAATGTAATTTTAATACATTGTACATAGTTGTAGTAGAATAATATAGCTCAATGATATAGTAAAAATATTTCTTTCAAGCTTGTTTTTTCTTTGCTTCACATTAAGTTAATTCAACATGAATTTCATGTCTTTTTTTCCTGGCCCCAAAACAACCAAAGTTTGGTTGAATTATGACMGAAACATTTCATCHTTATTGTTGCTCTTTTATGTTTAATTGAAAATTTGGTATTTGAATTTGATTTTGTTTTTCTTTTTTGAATAAAATTGAAAAAAGTTGACATTGTCACAAAGGTGCATTGTGAAGTCAGTTAATTTTCAAGAAAAAGTTGAAATCTTATCTGAGGTAGATTTTCCTTTCAAAACTATTGAAAAACGGTATATCTGTTCTATTCCGTTAAATCCGTGTTCAATTAGCAATGACTAATTTATGTTCAACGGTGAAATTTAACCGAAGTGAAAATTTAAGCTTAACTGTTTTTCAGACTTTCAGTTTCAGAAAAGCAAATTTTTCAAAAACGCTTGAATACCGAATAAAAGCGAATTACAAGATTCTAAAGATTAGTTAATTTT